CTCGTCCCTCCCTTCCCTCCCCTTTTCTCGCTAACCTGTGTCTGAGATATCACGGGTATTTGCCCATCCAATTTTTAAGTTAGCAAAAGGAAAATTTTGCCGTATCTAGACGCTACGCGTACCGAACCATTGTAATCCTATATTCCAGTTACACATTCAAAGTTAGAAAATGTCGCAGAAACCATCGAAAAGCTGGCAAAGATAAAGCTACCGCAAAAAGAGTTATTTACTGTCTAAAGAAGACAGATACACATGAGCAATGAGAATTCTCCCAGGCTATTTCCTTGTTCACAAGGAGCGGTGGTGCAATGGTTTAGCACGCCGCATTCGAACATGAAGACGAGAGGTTCGGGTTCTTTTTGGCCCGCACCCAATAAAGGGCTCCATCTAGCCTCTCTCCGCGTTAACGATAGTAGCATGAATTTTACATGAATGCAAATTATTTTAAGCTCAAACCTGATCGCCGACTTGCGGGTTGCTACCGTGGACATAAATCACTTCTCCAGATGGTGTTAATTCGATGGTTGTTCCGTCTTCCGGACGTGAAATCACGACATTTTGTGAATCGGATCCATCTGCCTTCTGAACAATCGCCATCTTGTCCGCTACATGTGTCATCGTTGCGGTGGCCTTAACATGCTGAAAATATTCATCACCAGTTGTATCGGTTGGTAACGTTTTGACCACAGAGTTCTCGTCGGGTTCTGTTCGCGTAAGAGTTTTGATCAAGAATTCATTGCTTCCTGGATGCTGCTGGATGCTCTCTGGTTGCAAATAGTCATTGTTACTCAGTTCCATGGAATCGCTGGTGGCTTTCGTGGAAACTGGTGCTTGTTGAAGTTCGGCCAAAGGGACTGTCATCGAAGGCGGCAATGTTGTTGTAGCAATAGTTGTTGAATGCTGTATTGGTATCTTGGATTCTGTAGTTACCGACGGATGCGTGGTTATGTCGTGCTGTTGAATCCACGGTGTTCGAGCTGTTGTAGTTGAAGTTTCAGTATCAAAAATATCGATATGTACAGATCGGTGTGCGTTGTCCAGCGATGACTGATCAACTGCAGCAAATCTCAAGTGTTCGGAAGCATAATCGTCGCGATCACTTTCAGACTGCTCGTTGCTGGAAATTTCGGTTTTTTCAAAAGGAAGGAAAATT